ATATACATATTTGTTGCTATCGCTCACTCTCTCTGTCTGTCTTTCTGTGTGTGCGTGTGTGCTCTTCGCGCTCGTCGCCCCAACTTAAACACTTATTTTAGGGTTTAGGGTTTAGGGTATAGGGTATAGGGTTTAGGGTTTAGGGTTTAGGGTTTAGGGTTACAAGATACACTGCAGGACTTCGGAGGGGCGCTAAGGCACACGACTTTGTCACAATGAAAACGGAACCTTACGAACATAAACCCTAGCTGCGAAACCACACGTGCTATACCTGGGATTGCCCACATATTGTGTGCAACACGGGCTTATGTTTCGAAAGCCTTCGCTACAAATACGATTGCTGCTAATCACGCAAGACTCCAACCAAATATATTTCTATGAAACGGGGTCCTTCTAGGGAGCATAGGAAGAGCCTCATATAAAAAACTGGTATATATATATATACACACATATGTAGACTTATTGACCCTAGTATATGGCACCAGCTCACGCACAGTGGTTGAAGCACGAGCTCATGGCTCGATTCGCAAGCCTTCGGTACAAAAACGATTGTTGAATGGAAGTGTGTTCAACAAAGAATCCAATCAAATATATTTCTTCTATGAAATGGGGTCCTTCTAGGGAGCATAGGAAGCGCCTCATACAGAAATTTTCTGTTATTGTTTCTTTGCGGTGCAATGGCTGCGGGTGCTTTGTTTGGGGAGCTACGTATATATAGGAAGGATTCTATTATAATGCCGATGCTTTCGAAGACCGGGTTGCATAATAAATGTTTCAGAATTTATCCTTAAGCTTTGTAAGAGCACGGCTTGTGGCTTCGGGCCTTGGCTTGGAAACAGACCAACGAAGCTTGAGGCTCGATCTCGCGCTTATTTTTTCACTGGCCTGTCGAGCACACCCAGCAGTTGTACTGCAACATCCATCTCTGCAAGGTCCTTGCAGAGAGTGTGCTTGCATGAAGAGCTCCTTTGGTCGTAGCCATCACCTTTCCAATAAAATCTTCTTCCATGTTGCAGCCTGCGAATCTGGGGTTCATCCTGCTGGCATCTAGCCGGCAGCAAACCTCGCAATGAAAGACGTGAAACTTGGGGCGTAGTTTGAACCTCAAATGTCCACAAGATTCTCTGTCGACACAGCTTCCCTATATTATTCGGAAGCAGAGTAACTCCTGCTCAAAATAATTTGAAGCGGGACACAATGGTTCTGCGGACTGCAGAAATTGCGCTGCCATCGCAAGATAACAGTGGCAGTACAATCTGCCCAGCCTCGGATATGGATTTCTGGCGGAAAGCATCGCAAAATACTCTTTCTGTTTGGTCGCTCAAAAAATACGATTGAGTTAAGGTTCTGAGAGACTTCTCGTGCTTGGTCGTCTGACAACCACATAGGATATTTATCCAGCTGATTGCCGAAGGTCGTGATTGCCCATGCACTCACGGCCGGCTTTCGGAGTTCGACCACGGAAGCAGACAAGTCCTAAGCAGAGGAACCGTTAGCCAACACCTCAATAAAAAGCTTCCTAGCAGTCTTTGGAACAACACGTGAAAGCGCTCGAGGAATCCAGCTTTGCATTCCGGGGAACAGAACAGCAATAAAGATCTATAACGCCTCAAATCCCGCGACAATACTTAATATCTCACGAGTTGCACAGAGGCGCTCGGCAAGGTATGCCAGCCTGGGCCATTCAGGCATCAATACTGACACTGGGCTCATGTAATTCGGAGGAGCAGGATTTGAACCAAGCTGCATGACACGGTTTGCCCAACCCTTGGAAAACCCCAAAGGGTAGTCCAAGCTCACCGCATCAACGGATAGCTTGGTCAAACCTAGGTGCTTAAGGGTTTACGGGATTTAGGGTTATATGTCGATTGATAAGGCTCCGTATACGAGGGTTCAGGGATATAAGGTTTGTATTTGTAGAGCTCCGGTTTAGGTTCTGTCTTGTTATTAGTTATTAGTGTTTTAACAACAGAAAAACATGTAGCTCGGGCACTCAGCTCGTCGATCGTGCTGGGTCGCAGGTGATGCTGCCGGCACCACTCTTGCAGGTCGAACAAAATATGACGAAGTCTCTCGTCGAAGGTCTCCAGACACTGCACTGGCGGCCAATGGCGAGCCAAAAGCATTGTCAAGGAGCCGACGGCGTCGCGTGCAGTACCCAGCCACAAGCAGTGTAGCAGGTCAGGATATTCGCAAGAAGAATGGTATCCGGGCAGGCGCCAAAGCGGGATGTCTTGACCCACACCTCGGCATTAATTGCTGAATGCTAGCGACACGGCCGAGATTCATTTCACGACCAATTCTTTCGACAGCAAGCATGAACAAATGAACAACTACATCGTTCGTCAAATGCTGGTGCCACCGAAGAGCTGCTGCTTGCAGCATCGTCAAGATCCTGCTGGTTGTTAAAGCGCTCAGAAATGTCGGCCCACGGGCGGTCTCTGCTGCTGTCGGCGAAGCATCTGGGGCATATCTGACCAAGCTGGCCGTTCGGCCCAGCCAGATTGGCATAATGCCGTGTCTGCATCAACCACTCCCGTTTGTGTTTCCAATCTCCTTTGGACACGGTCAAGTGCAAAGACCATCCATGTAACTCAGGATCGTCCTTTGAAGACAAAAGAAGCATGGAGTCCACGAGTGCCTTCTGCAAGCACGACAACGTCAAGTTCTTCTTGCCGTCGAAGGCGAACCTATCTGATCGCACAACCTGGGCCAGAACCCTAGCCGACATTATGCAAGCAATGTGTGTGCGACCAAGCCACCACGAAGGGGTATTTCTGGAACTGGGCCTCGCGATGGCACCCCAGCGGGGAGATTGAAATCACGAGCACATTCTTGGATCGTTTGCTGGTCCCCTCGTCGCCGTGCAACGACACAGCGATGGCTTTCCTGCGGGCGGCTTCAGGCCACCCTTGTACGGGATGGGACCTGATAAGCATTTTGTCTGCGGCGCTGCGAACCGCAAGGACTCATTCAAGCGAGCATGCATGCAGTCTAGACACTTCCCCCATGGTTCCGACTTCGCTTTCTCCCACCATTCCAACCAATTAACATCTCCCGTCCTTATGTAGACGAGGCAAGATTGCAAGAAGAGTCACAACCAAACCGACTAAATTGTATCATCCGCATAAACGTGCACGATAAGCATCCAGTGGTTCACGAGTCCTCCCTGCACCATGGACTTGAACAGCAAGTAAGGCGACAGGACAGGCAGGTTTGTCCAAGAGTTGCCACCCTTCTGGGCCTTTTTTGATTTTTTCTTAGGTCTGGTAATCGCCCGTCCTCGAAAACGAAGCTGTCTTCGATGCCCTTGCTCAACAAGAACTTCTGGTCGATGATCTCTCAGCAAGACTGAAACCGCACTGAGCGGACACACCAGCGGAGCCTCAGATCAACAAGCCAACAGTGGAAAAAA